AAAAAAAGGAAAAGAAAATCTCAACTCACATGTAAAAAGCCCAGCTGAAATAATACAGCTGTTGGAATTACCTGACAAAGTCCTTAAAGGAGCTATTACAAAAATGTTTCAAAAAATAGGGACAAGCACTGGGGAGGTAGCCCAGGGGTAGAGTGCTTGCCTAATATGCAAAAGATCCTGGGTTTGATCACCACCACTACAAAAATAAAAACAGAATAATCGTAGTCTTTTAACAAAAAAGAAAAAGAATAAGGATAAATATCTAGGAACAAATGAAGAGATAGTTTAATTAAATACAACCTACAAAGAGAAACAAAATGGAAGTGTTGGGATTGAAACAAATCAACAAACACCTCCGTGGGGGCTGAGGATGTAATTCACAGGTACAGCAGGTACTTAGCAGGCTCAAAATCCTACTTTCTATCCCCAGCACCAAAAACAAAAATATCTTGTAAACGAGTCCGGAACTTGAGTCATTTACTGGACGCTAATCTACCACTTGGGCACTGCCATCTTGACAGGATAACTGCTTGTTAGTGTGAAACACCTTAGAGTCACCCGGTCAGTTGGCCCGTTATCATTGCATCCATCTCTAGGATGCGGAAACTTGACAAGAGAGATGGAGCCAGGTTGGAAGCACAGAGAAAAGCAGGGAGAGGTCAGCAGGACGCGGCCTCCCACACAGATGCATCCGGCGACCTCAGAACTTCCCGGCTTCCGGTCCCTCTGTGCGGCGGCCGGCGCTTCCGGTACGCGCGCTCCGCCTAGTGGACGCGCACGCAGGGCGGGTCGTGCGGGGGCGCGCGCGTGCCTAGGCGACGCGCGGAGGAACTTAGTAGAGCCGCGGTAACACTGCTAGGTCGGCTTTCTGTCCACGCCGTCGGTAGCGTCGCCTGTCTCGTGCCGCTGCCGCCGCCGCCGCCATGGGAGTGCAGGTGGAAACCATCTCCCCAGGAGACGGTGAGTAGGGCGCCCGCGGCCCCGGGGCCTCGCCGCTGCGCGCCTCCGCTCACCCTGTCGTCTGTTTTACCTCCCCAGGGCGCACCTTTCCGAAGCGCGGCCAGACCTGCGTGGTACACTACACCGGTGAGTCTGGCGGGTCTGCAGGGTGGGGACCCGGGCCTTGACCCCCGCCCTAGTGCTGCCGGCCTCGGCAGCTAGGGACCTGGGGCGTGGCGGCGGCGAGGCCCGCGTGGCGGGATCCTGAGGCCTGGGCGGTGGCCGCGCCCGGAGGGGCACCCTAGGGCCTACAGAGCCTGGGGCCGCCTGAACACGTGGAGGTGAGCGGTGGCTGTGGCCAGCGGTTACCTCGAAACCTCAGAGTAGTCTGGGATGCTGCCATCGTGCCCACTGCACAGATGAGGAAACTGAGTCTTGGTGACTAAGGTCACACGCGCAGGAACGGGCAGAGCCCTAGCCAAGGACCTTGAGAAAACATTTGTGCTATTTCTACGACCAGATTAACACTCTTCGCCCGCTTCGGACCTCTGTTCAGTGGAGATGGAGGGGCGAGGTAATTCAGAGTCTACAGAGCTACCCATTCCGCTTGGGGAAACTCAGAATTCTCCCTTCAGCAGCGGGTACTCCTTCCTTTCTGTACCACTTCTTTTCCTCTTACCTTTGAATCTCTTACAAATCCAGGCTTCTGTTGCATTGATGGCCCAGGCTATCTGAAAGCTTCTTGTGTCGTTTAGTCCTCCCCAGCCCTTCTAGTAATATTTTTCTCACGCCCATTTTAAAGATAAACTGGAGGCTCAGGGAGGATACACACAGTAGTGTAATTCAGCAGATATTTTAGACCCCCTTCTCCCCCAGCCAAGATTCAAACATGTTGTGCCTTGGTACCATTTTTTATTCCATGCCCTTACAAGGTACTCCTAAATTGTATGGGGTGGGGGAGGGTCTGAGCTGGCTGTGATTTCAGTGGCTGTGGGCTTTTGGCTCTAGGACTGGAGAGATTGGTGTAGCCACAGTTGTTGATATGAATAACCTTTTCCTCCCCTTTCCCATTTCCCCTCCCCCTCCTTCCTATGTTTCTTCAACCCCTTCCTTCTAAGCAGTTCTGACCTAGCTGCTCATACATCTTTCTCCTATCATAGGAGGAGCCCCCTTGAGGGAAATGACCTATATTAGGAAGGGGAAGAGGCAACTAATTCCCTCTCCTGCCCTTTTATTTCTGTGACACTTCTTAACTCAAAAATGCTGGTAGGAGATGGAATAAGTTAAGAATTAAAATCTTTACAGGACTGCCAATGTAGGAAGTGTAGAAGTCCATCTTTGTAAGAAACAGTCTCATATTTTAGATGAAACTACAAAGTGGTTTTGACATTTTAAATGACTGTCATTGCATGGCGCCTCAGGCTGGGGAGGGGCTAGTGGAAAAAAAGTCAGTTCATTTTTGATCAGCAGATTGAGAAGAGTAGCCATTGCCTTTTATTTACAGTGCCAGGCTGAGTAAGCAGTTCCTTGAGTTCCCACAGCCCAAGTAGGGCAGAGATTAGGACTTCATTAGTGAGGAGGTACCTTCCACTGTAGCCCCTGCCCACCCTAGTTTGCAGGTAGCCACGTTAGTGTGTGTGGCTACATCTGTCCCACTCCTCTAAGTTTGTGCCCCTAATCTTTGGCCATATTTTGGTACTGTTAAGGGCTAGACACCATCATGTAGACCGAAACTCATTTTGCTGTGCCTCTTGGTTAAATGTCCCCACACAGTATGTCTGTATCCTTTTCCTAAATCAGCAGATGGCTATGGGACCCAGAACACCATCAGAGCTCCCACTGCCTTCTCAAGTCTGTGTTTTCCTCGAGGGTGGCACCTACCCACACATTCCCAGAACAGCAGCAGGACCCTGGCATGCTTTGGAATGAAACCTTTCTCTTTTTTTAAATTTCATTTTGATAAGCCCTACAAAGACGCCTTAGTGAGAAGTCAGCTCTGCTTCATGCTCACAGAATAGACTGTTTTCGGGCAGCTTTGTTCCTGTGGGTCTTTGCCACGAGCCATCCGGGAAGAACCTGTTTGAGACCTGTGAGGGTGTGGGAGGGAGGAGGTTAGAACTGTTGAGATGTCATCCGTATCATTTCAGGCTTTTAATCACTGGAAACAGAATCCATCTTGAGGAAATTAGATCTGAAGGGAGAGCTATAAAGATCTGGGGACGTCTTCAAAGGCAGGAAGCCCACTGGGCTACAAGAAGGGAAAAGAAATTTTTGTGAAGGTGATGCCCCTACTTCTCATCTCTCATATTTCCTCCCTGTCTCAGTAATCCCATTAGAGATTTTTATTTTCTGCTTCTCCCAACTGGTAGATGGTAGAAATTGCCCACATACCTACCTCTCCACCACCAACCCCCACCACAATGCCAAGTCTCTGTCCCCTTTTGATATCTGGCTCAGATGCTTGATGTGACTGATCACAGTTCCTGAGAGGGAGGATCTGATTGACCCACGTTGGGGTCAGGTAAACACTCAATCAAGTCTGCTCTGGCCAGGTGTCCATTACTGCTGATTTGGGTAGAGATCCAAAGAAAGGACAGTAAAAGTAAGGTGATGAGAATCCCCCTGTAGCCACCAAAGTATAGAATAGACTGACTTTTATAACAAAGATGTTTTAAATGCCACTAGTGGCTGCCATTAGTAGCCTTGATGCCACTCTCAAGGCCCTCTGTTTATTTCCATGACCTCTAACAACATAGCATGAACAAGGCCTGCACCACCTCTTTGTGGTGCCAGAGAGAAAATAAAAGACTTTACTGGTAGCAGCTAAGAGCTATAGGAGCATGACAGGCCTTGATTGAGGTGGGAGGGAGAAGGTGGGAAGGTAACCTGCCAATTAAGTGCCTTGCAGATTGAGTAGATTCTCATGGCCTGCTGCCTGCCTCCAGGAGCTTTGTCATCTGTACAGTTGAGCTTCCTCTGGCACACAGCTAGGTTCATGTCCCTCACACCAGCAGACACGTGCTTGCCATTGTGAGAGCAACCTCAAGTAGATTGAAGGAATTCCTTTTTTTATTCTCTTAAAAAGTAAATGGACATCTTGTCCTTGGGGTCAGGCTTAAGTCATTCCTGGCCTGATCATGAGTAAGCCAAGAGTTCTCAGCCTTCTCTCCTCAGGGTCCATCAGTGTGGCTGCTCTCCTGCAGCCCCTTCAAGCCCCTTGCTTTTCTTTAGCCTCCATCCCCACTCTTCTGTCCTTTAGTTCATATACTTCTCCACTGACTATTTCTTGGTTAGCCAGTGATCTAATGTAGAAGGCTTGCCTCCAGCAGAGATGCTTCAGATGGCTTCCCTCTGATGTTTGGGCAAGGCTATGAAGGACCCTGCAGCAAGCCAGGCACAAGACATGGTCAATGAACTAAATACACAAAGACCATGAGTTTAGCCCATGGCGAGGAGACTAGCATGGCAGCATGACATAGCAGGTGGTAAGAGGCACTGTGAAGGGAGTGAAGCAGGGAGGGTGGGAAGGGTGTTTCCCTTTAAGGAGGAAGTTGGAGAAGCCCTCTGACATAAGCTGCTCAGCATCATTCAAAGGAAGGAAGGCAGAGAGTGGACCTTGTGGCCATAGTGGAAGAGTACTTAGGCTCCCTCAGGGCCCAAGACTGCGGAAGGTTGATGTGAAAGAGGAATGTGATAGGCCGTGAGAGAGATGATACAGCCTGGCAGGTTGTTAGGAAAACGTTGGTTTTTCCGGAGTAAGGTGGGAGCTAGTAGAAGGTCTTGAGCTGACTTATATTTTACGTCCTCTTTTCTGCCTCCCGTATGGACAGTGAACTGTGGAGAGAGGGCAGAAAGAGGACCCTGGTTGTATCCCAAGTGTTAGAATATCCCAGGCCAGGCCATGGCAGAAGTGGTGTCAGATGAACAGTTATCCCCAAAGCAGAAGGAGGTCTTTTGCTGGGTTCACATCTTGCCTGTGTTGTGTACTAGGCTCTGAGAATTTAAGTAATTTGTCCTGCCTTTCTCAGCTTCCATGTAAATTGGAGTAACAGCACCTGCTGTGAGGAGTGCCTGAGTTGACCTGGGGGTGACAGTGAGTTGTAACAGTAACACATACTGTTATTCAGGCCCCATATGTGTCCCAGGCACTGAGTGATGCATCCACCCTTGTCCTTTTTATATTGGGAAAAAGACAGAGCTGTGGTATTGACACTGAAGCTTCCTGGGTGGCCCATACTTGCTGCAGCTTAAGATTTGTGCATTTGGCAGGGGCTAGGACCTCATCCTCTTCCATTTCACCTATGGGGAAATAGGTACCTCAAAAAGGGAGATGGAGCTTACCGAGGATTCATCTGAAAACCTTTTCCCAGGATGTGTATAATCCAGGAACACTGGAGCTGGTCTCTTACATTTGGAGGCCAGGGGAGGTTTATTAGTTGTGGTTGTGGCCACCACTGTATGAGAGGGTCCAGGCTGGGCCTGTACCAGTTTGGCTGTGAGAGCAGGTTATGGTATCAGTCCTGTTTCTCCTACTTTCTGTAGCCTAGTAAGATGTTAACATTGTGAAACTCAACCTTGCTGTAGAAACATTACTTTGCTTTGGGATTGTGCTCACCAAAAAACAGAATCACATAGGTGCCCTCCTCCTACTCTTGCACAGGTAGTAGCAGAGGAAGGCTCTCTTCTCTTAAATGAACTGAAGATCTCATATAGCATTCTTATATGTGTATACAGCTCTTCATGGGGAAGTTGTTAAAGAAAGAAAAATGAAAATAGAACAATAAATACCCATGTGCTACCACCTAGATTCCACAGTGGTTGACATTTTGTCACGTATGCCATTTCTGATTACTTGTAGAATATGTATAGTTCATAATCTGTGTCTTTGCTGAGCCATTTTAAATTGCAAAAGTAACATTGTACTTCTGAAGACCTGAGCATACCCTAAGAATGAGGATATTCTCCTTATCCTCCAAACTGTCACATCCAAGAAAAAATGATTCAGTAGTTATCTAAAACTAAACTCTGAAACCACCTCACATTGTCTTCAAAGTGTTTTTTCTAGAAAAATCTTTGCACTACATTTTCTTAATGACCCTGATTTTTCTAAGAGAAGTCAGGCTGGTTATCTTAGAGAATACCCACAG